TAGTGACAACCGTTCATTCATTGGCAGCCAAAATGTGAAATTTTGCATTTTTCGTCGAAACCTGCATATCAATTTGTGTCCGATTTGCTTTATATCTTCTCGGTTCTTTTCTTTTTTTTTTTTTTTTTCTTTTTTGTCCAAGAGTCTAAGAGTGTAAATTAAAACTTACATACTGCAATTTAAAATTTGTTTTTCTCTCAAATAAAATAAAGTACTAATTTCTAGCACATTGTATTACAGCAAAATCACCCGAAAATTTCCAGTTTGTAGAAATTTTACTTAAATTTTCAGAAATTTCAGCTTTTAAACCAACTATGACATTTGATTTAACAGTGCGCAAAGAAACTATTGAAGTGGGTGAAAATCCATTAAGGGCTTTCATGAATGGTGTAGTTTCCATCCATTGTCTATCACCTGTTAATTTTCTATAATTCAGATCTCCTTTAAAAATTAATATATGACTTTGACTTAGTTTGTTATACAGGTTAGCATCTGTTGCCTTCATTTCACTGTAATCATGAGGAAGAGTCCAAAATATTTCCTTTTCAATAGTCCATTCACCTGAACTGAATTTTTCAGACCATTCTTTACTGTATTTAATTAGAATTTCATGATCACTCTCTGATAATGTTTTTAGTAGCCATTGAAGGTCATTTTGATGAGTGTCTGATACAAACCAGGGTATGCATTTTACATGGAATCGTATTTTTTTCACTAAATTTGTAGCTTGCAAGAAGTACATGAAACAAAGATCAACAAACAATTCAAACCCAGCATTATCTAACACAATATCAATTTGTACTTCCTTAGAGGTATTATTAGCATCTTGTAAAATTTGCCACACAACTTCAGTATCATCAACAATGATTTTTTCTTTCATCTCCTCTAAATGTAACAAAGGATTATCATGAACATTTTCTTCGCTATTTGCCATACACAAGTCCCATTTATTGCCCCACAAGGCTACCTGTAATACCAATTTTATGAATTAGATTACATGCTTAAACATTTAATCATAAATAAATTACAAATAAATCAAAATTACTGTTTAATTTTGGTATTTTTATATCAGATATGTTTAAGAAAACTGGATGCAATAATATAAAATATTTTAATAGTTACACATTTTATTTAGTATCTATATGATGATCAGAAACTTAAAATTAATTATTCTAAGCACAGAAAATAATTTCAGAGTGCAAAACGTTATACAAAATATCAAACAAAATAATGAACAATATAAAAATTTTAACAAATTTTATATTGCAGTCTTGTTTACAAACCGTATGTTGATCTTTACAAGTTAATCTGGTATTGCACATCTATTACTGCTGTTACATTATATTATCAATATTTAAAATATCTCAAAGATTACATTTCATAAAAGCTGGCAAATATAACTCTAACATGCATATTTAATTTTCAACAAATGTGGTAAAATAATAACTGATTGAACAAGGAAATCTGATTTCAGTTAAAATTAGAATATTCATTGATGAACGGATATAACTGAAGATGGATAGTTAGCTTCCGGCTTAAGAGGAACCAAGTTGGAAATAAGCAGTTTTCCTTTATTCATTTCGGTAGAATTTCATGAAATTTACACATTACATACAATATATTTACAATCATAAATGAATAATAAGGATTTGAACATAATAACTCTACCTTCTTTAGAGATGGATGTCATTTAACAGCACCTTTCATAGAACTGAGCAGTGTAGCTCTCGGAAAGGTAAAACCCAAAAATCATAGCTTAAAAATTTATATTTAACAGTCTGATATAATTTTATTTTTTAGTATTTGATAATGAAGTATTGAAACTGATTTTACACAGTGCAAATTACCCTCTGTTGAAATGTAAACATATGATTATATTTCATTATAGCATGGTGAGAAGAAAGCTACTTCTATACCTTATTAAAGAAACATGATTGAGTAACCAAACTGTGCTTGAAATTTTCATTAAGATAATTTTTTTAACCCTTCAAGTGACCAGCCTGACCTCAGCTCACAAAGACCATTTGGGCATTTTATATCACATACAAACTCGGCTCATATCACAATTCACTAAAAACAAATGAGAATACCTTGCGCTCATTAATTTTGTTTTAGTAAGGCATACAGAATTAGACTTGGGTCTCTTTAAGATTTGGATTGGATTGGATTATTCAATTATGGCAAAGCACATGAGGGCTATCTGCCTAAAGGGAGGACTGCCTTCGTGGAGCACTTTCTAAGGGAAACTGGCTCGTATACACGTTACATATGGGGAAAACCACGAAAAACGCCCATGCAGCCAGCCCGTTTGTGGGATTCAAACCTCGGACCGAACTACCAGTGTTCAGCGTCTTTACCGCTCGGCTGCTGGTGGGCCTTCCTTTACGATTTGGATTCAGCTTTTATCATGGATAGTTGAACTGACTTCTGATATTTAAATCACAATGCATTTTTTCCAAATTATACAGATGAGGGCACTTTACTGATTTTTCGAAGGATTACATTAACATGAATCATACATATATGTCCAAAGTTTGATTTGGTTCATAAATATGATTAAGTGGCGTTTCCCGTCTGATTTTCTAAATTCTTCTAAAAATTTCAATGACGATCAATTATTTAATCTGAATCTAATACAATTGCTGATCCTAGACCGCCGCCCGACCACATGTAAATTAAAATTGGCTGTTCTTTTTTACAGAAATATAATATGTTTGGTCATCATTTCATCACCTTCAATTTGGCTGTCCACGTGCTGTGCACCATCTTGTCCCCCCCCCTCACACACACTAGGACTGGCCTGTAAATGTAATTCAGGATCTGACCAATCCTCTGATGCATTTCCTAGTTATGATTCTTCAGATGAAGATTGTGAAGATCTTTTATCTGATGCTAGGCATACATGTTACTATCTTCTTAAGAGTTTTTACCAACTCCAACAGCATGGCAACTCGGAAATGACAATTTCTCTTTTGGAAAGTAGTTAAAGTACTAGTAGAAAATTCTATTATTATTTTCATCAAAATTATCATAATTATAAGAATTTTCAGAATATGTTGATGATGAAAAATTATTATTATAATACTCATAAGTTTAGAAATTCTAATTATCTCTCTATTTTCACTATTATCTTACCAAAATTATTCCACTTCCTCTCTATCTCTCCTTATTATACTTTCATTAATAGTTGGAACCTCTTCTCTAAGCCTAAGTCTACTCGTTAGAATTTCACGCTCACATAAATCTTCATTAACTACCCCAATTTGGCATAGCAGATATCCCCAAGAGTTATATTTCAAAGATATACATCATATGTAGAATAAATTTTAAATCATTATTATAATAATTAAAAAAGCTAATATATATTTGATTTAGACATATATTTGCAGAGAATTAAGAAATTATTTATTAAGAATTTTAAGCAATAATTATTGAAGAAAATATATTAATTTCCAAAAATATATCTGGTACAAATTATAATCAATAAATAAAATATTAATTGAATGTGACATACAGTAATGTAAAGGGATGCAGTAAGAGGAAAGTGTTATGGTCAGAGTATAGGAAAATATTGATTAAAAATTTTTAAATCAAAAGCAAAAATATTTGTTCCATAAGGAACAAATACCCAGATGAGGTCACCTGTGCTCTGAGCTGATGTGATTGGTCCGATGCGCTCTGAGCAATCACTTAAAGAGCTAATGTAATTTTTAAAAAAATATTGTGCCAGTTCTTATGGCAACAATTTGAAAAGACACTAGTAATTTTTTTTTTTAAATCAAATTTATCACAAGTTAGAATTGAATCATTGGTCGTTTACTGTTTTCTAGCCATTTTCTTTAGTTACTTTAGCATTAAAACATTGATATTTTACTGTACAAATCATAACATAATATTATATCTTTAATTAAACAAAGATAAAGAAAAATTTTAATGTTCATTTTTAGTTAATTTTCAATATGCCAAAAAAATTGGAAGGGAACAGAAAACAACTGAAAATAGAAATAAATGGTGGTCCTACCTGCAAGAATATTCTAAAGGAATTATAAGTATCTTCTTTTGAATCTCTGTTTTGAAACTTCAACAAAGTGACATTCAAAGCAGATAACAAATGTACTACAGAATCCATTTCAGATAAAAATGATTCATTCTTCTGCTTCTGAAAGGGATCATATTCTCTTAGTGCAGAACTAAAATATAAAACATATTTTTAAAGTTAATTTCCTTTACTAATTTCACATTTTAAAAATAAAGGGTGTCGCAAAATAAACGCAAGATTTTAAAAATAAAAAAACACAGTTTTTTTTTTAAATTGATATTTTTCATTGAATCATAGAGTACACATTGGGCAAATGGTCTCAACAGCTTTGCTGTCACATACTCACACTTTTGTCAAAATTTTCCATGACAATTTTGCATAAATGTAGCTGAATTTCGTTGATGCAGCGTTGAATTTTCTCCTGCAGTGCGCGCATGTTTGTGGGCCTGTTGCGTTAACCTTTGATATCAAATAACCCTATAAGCAGAAATCCAATGGTGTTAAATCACACGATCTAAAGGACTGATTCTCATCACCGAAATGAGAGAGTACACGGTCAGGAAATGTCTCATGCAGTAATTAAATTCTTTCACATATATATTTCTTTATATGGCATGTGGCACCGTCTTGTTGAAACCACATGTCGTCCACATCAATATCATCCAATTCAGGTAGAAAGAACTGTATTATCGTGTCACTATAACGATCACCAGTAACAATCATTGCTTGACTAGCTTTATGGTCCAATGATGCCTCCAGCCCAAAATCTGCATCTAACAGTGACATGTTAAGGATGCATTTGTTTTTGACAATCACATGTGGGTTCCCTGAACCCCAAATGCATCAATATTGACAATTAACAAAGCCATCATGGTGAAAATGGGCTTCATCAAAATTTACGAACTGTGGCCGCCAGACTTTCATCGTTTTTGAGATATTTTTCAACAATGTAAACACGTACTATCGTGTAATGCTTCTTTTCTACTAACCCTAAACTATCAGCTGTCAAATGGTTTTTTTTTACAGGGTTGCCAAAACTTTACTGCATGAATAGCGGCAAATTCAAATCTTGCGTTAATTTTGGGACACCCTTTATAACAAAAGAAACATATACATATCAACAATGTCTTTAAAGTTATATGTTATGGCAAAGGAATAAAAAAATTCTGGGTATTTGATTTAACATATTGAATGGATAATATCTGGATCAATTATCCTGAGTAACAAACCCTTTCTTGGGACAGTTTGGATACGGTTATCGAACTGTAAACCGCAATCTACTAATACTAAAAAAAAGTGAACTGTTTGGGAGAATTTTGAAGCTAAAGATACTATACAATATGTGGAGTACTGCACTACAAATGCTTCTATCAACCTCGCAGAAGCATGGGGAAATCCATTAATTAAAAAATAATAAGCTTCCTAAAAGAAAAAAATTCATATTCCAAAAGGCAATAAAATGGCAGGGGAAAAGAGAAATGATTAAAGCAAATACAACAGTATTCATATTTTATAGCGGAATTTTTACAATATAACTTTTTGAAATGGTAGAACTATATTCTATGGCAGATGCATACACTTTCTACTGTATCCAGTGTTTCTCGGCTTAGGTTGACCCGTAGTATAGCTGTTTTATACTTTTTTCACATTGTTAAGAAATTTACAGTATTAAACAAGATTTTCATTATAATGGCGTTTTTATAAATGGTATGTTTTCCTTGTATGAAGTAAAAAGGAAGTATTGTAATCGCGAAAACTTTCAGGCAGCATATTTCAACGAAAATATCCATTTTGACCGCTATCGAATGCAATTTAACGATGTTTTTGGGTGATATCTGTACGTAAGGACAGAATAAAATACTCCTTTCCTTCAAAAAAATTATATAAAACTGCTTTATTAATTCTGAAGAGAATTTTTCGTGGTGTCTGTACGAACGTATGTACGTATGTGCGTACGTATCTCGCATGACTCAAAAACGAGTAGCCTCAGAACGTTGAAAATTTGTATATAGGACTGTTATAACATGTAGATATGCACCTCGTATTTTGGTTGCAATCGGCTGTGCCAAACGTATATAAATAAATATATTTATATATATATCCACTCTGTTACCCGGCTCAGTGATCTCAGTTTCTTTACTCTTATATGTTTGTAAATTGTACATTTTTTGCTTTAAAAATGATTGTATTATGTTGTTTTTATCTTCCGGTTAAGGTTTTTATGCCTTTAGTAAATCTATATGGAATATTTTTAGAATTATCAACAATTTTAAAGTTGTTTAATTGCCTCTAAGCCTGTTTTTAATGGCGGCCATTGATGTTTACATTTGAAACAGGAGACTAGTGGATTTGTTGCCAATCTAGAGAAACTTAGCTTCGCAACAACAAAGATAATGCATTCATTTATTATTGCCAATTAAATCATGCTTAATTCTTTCTGGAATTTTTTCGAGGAAATAAGTGTTTGAGATTTACTTCGTAATTTTTAATATAAATATTTTGAGTTTTTTATGTATTTTTGCCTTCTCGCGAAGTGAGAACTGAATTAATTAAATGAGAAATACTCAATCGTCTGTGAAAAACATTTTTTTTTTTGTTTTGTTTGCTTAATTTCTTTTATACATCATTCTAGCTTTATTATAGTATTTGAATAGAACATGTGGCAACGATTAGATAATTCTATTCTTTAAATGATATAAATTTTGTGCATTATGAGTTATAATATGAACGAAATATATGTTAACTGTTATATAATTATTGGATTATATAACAGTTAACTTAGTTTCCATTATATAATTATTAATACTGTTAAGTGAATCTAGCGCCCGAGTGTCGCTATGATAAACAAATACTAGAGTGAATTTTAAAGAACGCATTTATTCTATTGTGGTTTATGTGCTGTCGGCGAAGTAGATTTAATTCAATCCAATAAGTTTAAATGAAATGCAAGAAAAAATGCATATAATTTAATATTCCAATATAAGGAAGTCATGTGGTGTACACATTAGTTTTTTTTTTTTTTTTTTTTTTTTTTAAAGTAACAGGCAGTTTGTCCTGGATTTGAATCCTAGTGAATGCTCTGATTGCATTTTCATTTCACAGTTCTTGCAGATGTAAAGTAAATACAAGCCAGTTTCGCTTATAAAGTACTCCACAAAAGCATTTTTTGTTAGGCATATAGCCCTTGTTTATAAGCAATATTTATATACTCTTTTTATAAGCAAACTGAATTAAAATGATAGTTCCAACAATAATTTTTTAGAGTTTGAAGCAAATACAAACGTAATTCATAGCTCAAAATGCAGTTAACTCTGCACATAGGAATTTCTACCTAATCCTGCATACAAAATGACTCCTCTACTGCAGGGTTTCTTAAAGTGTGGGTTGCAACCTGCAGCAGGGGGTTGCCAAAAATTTTAGCAGTTTTGATATTTCTTTAACTTATAATAATTTTACAATTGCCAAATATTTTTACTCAATGTACCTGAAAATAGATAAAGATAAGACAATACAGACAAAGGAAAAAATGAAAACTTTTTGATGCACACATTCTTTTTATAACATAAACGTTCATTTTCCTTGCTTTGCATGTGACGCTGCCATTTTGTCTGTTACTTACTTAAAATTTTTACATTGTTCTATGTCTTAAAATTCGAAATTAAAGTTAAGGACCTAAAACTACAATAGTATATTACATTACAAGTAAAAAAATTGACAGTTTCGCTCCCGCGTGTGTCAGATTTGCGCAATGCTTATGGAGTCCTACAAAATTTTTGTAAATATTATGGAGTCCTGGGGGTCGCAAAAAATCTAGTGATAAAAAAGGGTCACGACTGAAAAAAGTTTAAAAAACTCTGCTCTACCGCATAATAATGATGTGCAATGAGGAAAAATCTAGGAGGGATTTATAATTACCTTCAAATTAAACAATATTTTCACAAATAGATGTATTTATCTCTATGAAAAGATACTTTTAAAGATGTAAAATTTTATCAGGAAAGGCATATTTACAATTAATTTTGAATAAAGGGAACATAAGGATTCAACTTCAAGTTAACAAAATGTCTATGTAATCTCAAAAGAACCTAAGCAGCAAATAAGTGCTACAAGCAACTGTAGTCATAACTACTTTCAATTTCATGAAGGGGTTGGGGTGGGACTATTTTTTCTCTATATTAAGTAACTATCTAACTAATAATTTTAATTTAATCTTTCTAATAATGATGCATTAATATATCTAATATTTAGCCTCAAATGTTATCCCCCCTAAAAAAATTGAATTACTGCTCATCCCTGATCTAGAACATAAACATCTTGGAAAAAAAAATAGCTTATTAATTAGAACTGTAAGTCAAATAAGTTTCTAGAAAGATACACAAAAAAATGTAGCACAACAGTACTATAGACCATAATATGCTTTTTTAATTATTTAAATATTTTCATGCCTAACATGCTGAAATGTACTAAATCTATAATTAACATACCTAAGTTGAAATGCTTCTTTAATTCTGCGATAAAAATAACATTCAACATATAACCATGATGACGCATACCATGCAGGAGGAAAACCATATAAAACCTTCTGTTTTTCAGAATAGTCATTCCAAAATTTAACATCAGGGAGATCATCTACAAGTGGTAGAACTGGTTTGTTGGTTACCATTTCATTTTCAAGAGCATATAACTTCCCAATACTTCCTTTTACTTCTTCTTTAGCAACCTAAAAATATGTAAATTAAATTATCATTACACAACTTCAACACACCGTATATAACAAAAAATATTACTTAAGATTCTGCAGTAATACTTAAGAATCTCTTTGAGATAAAAATTCAAGTGTACCTTGTGATTTTATCTGTTGCATTTTTACTAGTTTCTTTCTTATTTATCAACACATATTAACATCATGCATAAATATTTGTTTCCTTCTGCAGAAATTTACAATTTATCACTAATTTAACCCTTTGAAGCACGTGAAATTATTTTTACAATTTTTTTAACTAAAAACTCTAGAAATTGAATATTATGATCCTAGAGATAAATAATATATGAATTAAAAAAATTCTACTTTTGCCTATTGTTCTGTGGGTGGTGGTCGCACTATGAAACCATTGCGCGTCTAGGACTTTGAAACTTACTGAGGTAGTAGGGGAAAAAAAACTTACCTTTCTCCGTGCGCGTTTCCAATAAATGACAAATTTAAAAAAAATTTTCAATTGACAAATTTAAAAAATGAATTAAAAAAATGTATGTAAGAATTACATTATATATAATTTTTTTACATTATTTTACAAATGAAATCATCAGAAAAAATTTAAAAATAAACATTTATGTCATTTTTCTATAGCAGTGAAAATATAAGAACGTTTGGATAAATGGATAAAAAAAACTCAGAAAAATAAGGATTAAAAAAAAAAGACTGAGTGTTTTTTTTTTTATTGCGAAGGAAAAGTTTTTTTTTTTTTTTTTTTTTTTTTTTTTTTTTTTTTGTGTGTGTGTGTGTGTGTGTGTGTGTGTGTGCGTGCGTGTGACACTGTTCAAAGCATGTTTTGTCTTTTTGGTTTTGCCCATGTATCTTCTATCAGGTTCCTTGTGCCACAAAACGTACACTGCCTAGATCTAAATTTCACAGGTATATGCCCAGCATTATTTAGTTTCTTTTCATTTTGGACATAAAATTTGTCTTTTTTTATGTTAATGGGGGGGGCGGCTTGGTCTTTTTGGCTTTGGTACGGATCATTCATTTCCCATTCATACTTATTTTATTCGTATTTCGTCCCAAAATATTCAGAAAACATTTTTAATTTAAATAAAACTTTACGCGATTTCTATTTTTAATTATAGCAAAGTATATTTACATTAAATTTAAACCACAGGAAATAATCACAGTACTAGCTTGGGGAGCAAGTGTGTTGATGTCAGAGAAAAGTCTGGAAAAGAGAGAACTTTTTTACTGGGCAAGTGCATGTATTGTTTAGTAATAAAATAACTCTGTGGTTTCAAAACCCCTTATCTATTATAAAAATAAACATTCCTATTTGAGAAGCAAGCAAACGCCATTGTGAAGAGCAGCGGTTTCAAGGCATGACCACTGAGCCTCTAGAGCACTGTGACACAATGCTCTAGTGGCACAGTGGTCGTGCCCTGAAACCACAAAGCAAATGCCATACATATAGAGGGTTTTTTTTATATATGCAGTTTAATTATTGCTATTTTTTATTGTTTATGATAGAAGTCATGATGTGCGATGAATAACTTTTAAAATTTAAAGTTGTTTATATTAATTAAAGAAAGTTATTTTGTCTCATTGAAAACGAATTTTAAAAGGCATCCGATTTGAAGACCTAAAAAATGTATGATTCTGCAGTCATTTTGTGTTATTTAGAGGTAAAAGATCAGTAATCAATTGATTTAGTAATCAGTCAATCAAAAATTTCGGAAAGAAGAGGAGGAAAAAAATTCAAAAATTGGCGGTTTCAGGGCGTGACCACCGCGTGTCAAAGGGTTAAAGCTGAAGGAAGAAGAGAAAAACATGTTGATTAATATTTTGCTAATTTTTCCTATAAATAATATTTGAATTGATATATTAGTCAAACAGTTTAAAATTTCACATTTTCACATGCAAACCAAGTCCATAATTACAGTTTTCCTTTCTAGAATTAACCTAATGAAACAAAGCAAGCAAAACAGTGGAAACTTTTGCAGTTTCACAATTTGTCACAAACAAACTGCCAGGATAATGATGTTTCAGCCTACATTCTACATTTAAATGGCCTTCACACAGATTTAAAAACAAATACAAGAATGGTTTGACCATAGAAATAGCCCAGTGGATTATAAATCAATTCGGTAACATAGAAGAACTGGATGTCAGACAAATTTAGTGTGTGTATGCACATACACACATATATGCACATACAATACATACATTTCTGAATCCGCTCACCGTTATAATATTTTCATCAAAGCTAATGTAAAATTTAATAAAAGAAATCATTGAGATTAATTAGAAAAATGAATATATTATATAAAAACAAACTCATTCATGCTCATATAATATACAGTCAAAAGTCATTAATTCGGACACCCATAATTCGGAATGATCTATAATCCGGACCTCAAAACTAAAAACTTTCTGCGCATGCGCCGCGTTGACACATGCGCATAGGCGTTTACGCGTGCGCGTAAGACCTTTAACGACTGCGCATATGAGTGTGCGCAAGTGCAGAATACGTTTTCGCGTGCGCGTTTTATGTATAATAGACGTATAAGCTAAAATTATCTAATTATCTATTTCAGTTAATGTTGATGATTGCGTTGTTCCTTAATTTTCGAATTGGATCCGGCTTATTATTTTTTGCAGACTGTTAGAGCAATTTTATAAAAGTAAGCTTAAACTTTCGATTATATCAAATAGAATTTCCGATATATATTTGTTAATATGTAAAGGATCTAAAGCGAAAGTATGTTTTGAAATCCGAAATCTGTTTATCAATTTCACGCTGCACGGCGGGGGGAACGCAACGGCGGGCGCGTAATGAATTGGAAGTTGATTTGTCAGCACTATCCTTATCTTCAGCGCGATGTTTTTATTTTATTTGGCTTATAATTCCTTACCAAATGTAGTATTTCATCTCGATATGCTCCATCTTTGATATGATTTAAAACAAGTTTCTCGTCATTATAATTCGCTTCCGATAGCGAAGAAAAGTAACAGAGGTTATTGAAAACGAAAAAATTTCGATTGACAAATTAGTCGGTGTTCTTGACACAGCAATTATAGGACTTGAACAGCGGAACTTTGTAACTGAACAAGAAATTATGTCTGTTTAATAGAATTAAAGAGAAAGTATTATTACATGAAACGAAGCAAAACTTAAACAACTTACATTGAAAGAAATGTTTAATAAAGTGGACAAATAAATATTAAGCTTTTTCTTTTTGCAAATTTTGATACCCTTTAGATCATAATTGTTCTTTATTTCATAAATTACGGTTTCATATTTTTAATTTTAGAATTTCTGCATGCCATCTTACGAGATTTAAACTGATGATCTATAATCCGGAAAAATCGATAATCCGGAATCGCCGAAGTCCCGACGAGTCCGGATTAACGACTTTTGACTGTAATAAAATATAATAAAATGTTATCAAATATTGCTGTTTTCTAATAAATTGAACCATTTTTTATGCATCAAAAAGGTGTGATTTTGTTTATAAGTTTTCATTTTTGTATTAAAAAAGGACTACACTTCATTTTTAGAAAGCATCTAAGCTAAAGATAAGAAATCCAATGAAAAATTCTGCAAACGAGTTCATGAAATTTGACCTAATATGAGGACACACGTGGGGTTAATATGACCCCAAAATAATATTTAAAGCAATAATTAAGTATGTAAAGAATCTAAAAGTTTGAGATCAGACCTAAAATAAAAGTCATAGCTTTGATGAAAATTACTCAAGAAATGAAATGATAGTGAATGATAGCATTCCAATTAATGGAGTTGGGTCAAAGAGACCCCATGTGTATACTCGTGTGTTAGCTAAAAGCGATAACTCAAACGGTGTCTTTATTGAATGTACATAATTTATTATATTTCAAAATGTATTCCTAAATCAATTATTAAATATTGATGTTGTGAAAATCTGTGTGAAGGTTTAAACTGAATAGTAACTTTTAAATAAAAAATGTAAAACAGCCCAAATAAGATTTTGTTTTTTCTCTTAAAATATTTCTTTTTCTACTACACACACTGGACAATAAATCAGAAACCTTTCGGATTTCAGTGGAGATATATTTATATACTTTTGGTGTGGCCGATTGCAACCGAAAAGAGAGGTGCACAGCTACATATTATAGCAGTCTATATACAAAATTTCAACGTTCTGAGTCAATTCATTTTCGAGTTATGCAAGATACATATCTACATACGTACAGACGCCACGAAAAAAATATCTTCTAAATCAGTTTTATAATTCAAATTTGGGAGAAAAGAGTCCTTTATTCTGCTCTTACGTACAGATGTCACGTCAAAACATTGTTAAATTGCATTTGATAGTTGTCAAAATGGATATTTTTGCTGAAATATGATACCCGGAATTTTTGGTGATTACAATACTTCCCTTAATTCACACAAGGAAGTAAAAAGGCTTACTGCCAGGATAATAAAGCTTTTATAATCAATTTCAAACACATGAAATTTCACTGGGTTCTCAAAAGCAACCATATCAACAGTTTTCAAAAGTTGGAAGCAGAGCCCACAGTCCTTCTCTAGAAGACATAACAGCGTTTCAAGCACAGTTTTCTGAGAGCGATTGGCTGCGCCTCTGACAAACTGTATTTTTGTATTTTGTATGGGCACAGCCCCGGCCCCCCCAGCCGATTTAAATCGGCCACATGGCCAAAATGGGACAGGCCCGGAAAATAATAAAATACACAAAGTTAGTAACTGTATGGCAGACTGTATGGCAGAACAGTTTCTACTGTGCTTCAACTGACACAGATCATCAAACAAAGCTCTTCCTAACATATTTCAGCTCAAACCCTGCGCAGAGAATAGGATTGCATAGTCGGGTTCCTGTGAGAAAAACCATTCATTTCTGCCCTACATGCAAGAATTCGTTTGCACTGGTGCTGGGAAAGAAGACGCTGGACATTTAAAGATTGGGAACAGGTAATGTGGTCAGATGAATCATGCTACACCTTATTTTGCACTGATGGAAGACATCGAATTTGAAAGAACCCCATGAAGCCATCTTGCCTTACTCACACTGTGCAAGAGTCTGGTAGGAGCATCATGATATGGGGGATTTTTTGCTGGCATGGAAGTAATGCCCTGGTGTTTCTCAAGGGTAAGCAAACAGCCATTAGATACCTAAATATAGTGGCAGATCAAGTGCACCATGCAATGTTGCATTTTTACCCTGATGGCGATGGACACCATGGATGATAATACAACTATGCATTGTGCCGGAAGTGTTGAAAATTGGTTTGCTGAACATCTGTCTGACTTCCAACACTTTCCCTGGCCACCTCATAGCCCTGGAATATAACCCAATAGTGGGATATGGTTAAAAGACTCATCCGACAGCACTCTCCTCTTCCATCTAATTTATAAGATCTAAAAAATTGCATAGCCAAAGCATGGTATTCTCTGAACTTAAATGCACTCCAGAAGCATGTAGATTCGATGCCCAAATGAATCAGAGCAATTATTTGTGCAAAAGGTGGTCCTATAAAATATTGATCTTGAGTTTCTAATTCATTGACAGTGTGTGTATTTGTGAATAGCACAGCGGCTATAGGTTTTATAAATTGCCAAATGAATGCCTTTTGCTAGCCCACAAAGTTGCCTATGTGCAGGTGATTTTTCTTGCAGGTGTAGATAAAATGAAAGTGCTCAGAGTTTTTTACAAATCAATAATATACAAAATAATTCTTTTTATATATAATTTGCATATAAAAGATTTTTCTTTTGTATGTAAACCTGATTTTTTGTAAATTACAAGTATATATTCAAAAAGAATGAATCACATAATTTTAACAAAATCTGATATAACTATAAAATATAACAACTTCATACCTCTCCATATGTCATTTCAATAGAATGCTCATCTTGACACATGGTATCCACAACTTCGAGAAGAATAGCAGGTAGTCTATCTTTTATAGTTAGGTAGGCAAAGCTTCTAGAAAATACACAAAAATCTTTATTAAATCCCCATATATTAAAAATGAATACAAATTTAGTTTTGTTGTATTATTATTTTTACAGCTAAATAATATGGGTTATTGGGACCCATATTATTTAGCTAATATGGGTTATTGGGCTCTGTTATAGGGACCAGACTCATTGAAATATCTTTTGCTCAACTTACCAAGATGTTATTCATATGAAATCACCAATGTTTACTTTTTAAAAATGTAAAAGAATCCTTTACAAAATTGGCATCAAGAATACAAATTTGAATAGTCTATATTTTCGGGTACCCTTTGGATTATCGCCAAGCTGTTGGTGACCTGAGTATTTTATGCGAATGTTTTGGAAACCCTATTATGAGGTGATTGATTATAATTCGTGACTGTGGTGAATTTGATTGTTGGGAAAATATTTCACAGAGCTTACTGCGTTGGATGTTGGTTGGGAAGTACATTGGTTATTTTGTGCTGCACACTGTAAAATGGCTGCCGGTGGTAAGATTAACCTGAAGTTTCTGTACGATTTGGAATGAATAGGACAGAAAACATCGATTCTGGTGTGTAAATGAAGATTTAAATGGCTTCATCACCTCTTAGTAAATTACATTTAATGATTTTTAAGGACATTTAAGGATTCGGAAACCAGAGCTCATATGAACACTAGCCCACCAGCAGTAAAAGTCGTTAAAAACTGGTAGTTCGGTCCAAGGTTCGAATCCCGCAAATGGGCATTTTCAAGGCTTTCCCCATGTGTAACATGTATATGAGCTAGTCTCCCTTAGAAAGACCTCCATGAAAGCATCTCCCCTTAGGCAGATAGCCTCACATAAAACAAAGAAAACCATATGAACGGCATGTGGGAGGTAATAAAATGCAATTTTTAAAAGAAATGCCACCGGTAGTCCGGAGGATATTTTTGATTTTTTTTATGAATTTCTGTGGCAACGACAATATACATATTTTAGTTTAATTTTAAATAGTTTTAAAATAGTTTTTAGGATGATTTAAGAAATTCTATGTGATCCACACTGAAGATATAGAAATTTCTAAATAACGTAAGCCGGTATTTCCTTTTCGTACTGCACAGACTAGATAACATGTATTTTCATTTTTATGTTAGCTCCTTGTTTTATTTTGATTTAAAATGCAGTTTATTGAGATTATAATTTTTTATGTTTTAGATGCTATTTTACTTAGACATTGCATGTAAACAGGAATGGTGTCAAAAATTCACCAAGAGGTATCCTGAAATATATTTTCCCCCATAAATTCTAAAGATGTAATGGTAACTTGTGTTTTTATTATTACTGTATTTACCATGGATATGAAAATTTGAGACTTACCTAATGATAAAATATCTTCCATACAATTTCTTCAAGAAAGCGGAATTATTTACTCCAAAAGAAAGTGCATGAATAACTATAAAATGAAGCTCTACTTCAATTTGAAGAAATGGAGATGTAAAGATATGGCACATGGTGAAAAACAAAGGATTAGTTGCACATGGAGAAAAACAAACATCATTTTCTTAACAGAAATTGGTTAATCTTCGGATTATGGTAACTTGGCGATTTTTTGGCAAAAATTTTACGACCAACTCTGCTACAGCAACCTGCTAGTTTTTTTTTTTTTTTTTTGGACGCCATTTGTTTTCACGAAGTAAAGGCTTTTTTTTTTTTTTTTTTTTTTTACTCAAAATTTTTTTCCAACAATCTGCTAGCCGAATTACGCTTATACTAGAACTTTTATGGAACAAAAATTCTTAATCATGATGAAGATTAGGTGCGAAATTGGGAGAAAGTGCAGAATCTCAAACTGCTTGCCGTGTTTTTAAGAATTGCACATACACGGTATCCATGTACACGTTGACCTATTTTCACTTAAAAAAACATCCCAAAATTGCACAAAAATGGCATTGCGCACACTCTTGACTTTATCCATGTACACTGCTAAAGTCCTAGCTAGTAACCTTTATCGCCTTACCAAAATGTCGCCAAACTACCTGTTACTATATTCCAAAGATTAGCCCAGAAATTTGTTTCATTTATGCATGATGTTTAGTATCAGCTTGATATGAATCATTGCACTGCTGCTGACTAGAACAATTATATGAGGGAAGCTTGTTGCCATGCATTAATGTCTATCTAGACTGTCAGTTAAAAATAGGTGGCACCAGCAATAGTGACCAAATAGTGACCAAAGTTTGTTTTCGCATCAAAACAACATTAGTCATATCCTTCCCAGCCCAGTGGGTGTGTGGTGGGATTTGCTGAGAAACAAAAGAATGTTTTTAGTTGTTGTGCCTAACTGCACTGCCAGAAGTTTGCTTTAAGTTATTGAAGAAAATATTATTGATGACACTATAATAGACAGTTGGAAATGGTGAAGAATTAAAAGAAGCCGGATTTGAACATTCCACAAATATAATTTTATCGATCCCTATACTGGTTGCCATATGCAAAGCACTGAAAGGTTATGGGACAGTAAGAAATGGTCAAATAAATGAGAGACTGATTGTAACCAATTAGATTTTTATTTAATTGAATTTATCTGTTGGCAGCAGAAGCCTAAAATGCAAATGTTTTCAGAACATTTTAAATTGCATCTGCAGTTTTATGCCTCCATGTTAATTCACTAACCGATTTCCCCCCTTATTTCTTCGGCAAATTGTTTAATTTATATTAAATTTTCTAATTTTACGACTATTGGTACTGTTCTGTTACTAGGACTGGATTCAGAAATGTATGTGTGTATGAATGGATGTATGTATTCATGTATATATGTAAGCATGAATGTATATGTGTGCGTATATACACATACATGCGCCTACATTCATACATTTCTGAATCTGGTCCCGATAAGAGAATAGTACCATTATTTGTTATATTTTCCTTTGAATTTTTCTTCAATTTAACTGGATCATAAATATTTTGGCAATTAATTTCATGCTTCAAATTGTTTGCCACACTGTCGGCATTTACCAATATCTGAATTTTTGCCAGTCCCCATAGCAGAATACTAATACCATAATACGTCTCAACATGCAATTTAAGACATGAAAACATGTTAATATGATAAGATATTTTTAAGCTAACATGTTACTACATGTCATGATAAATTTTCTTGTAGACAAGAATACTGAGAACCCAATCTCATTATTATCAGAATCCCTTTCTGCCATTGCAACTTATATAAAAATATACAAAAGTCTCGACAGAAGAGAAATAAGGCAAAGTAAAGCATAAAAATAGCAAAGCAACAACCCTACCTTTAGCGTAGATTTTAGTCAAGACTCAATTTTGAGGGTAAACAGATACAGGTCCCTTTTCATCAGGAGCAAACAAAAATTCATGTAATCCAAAAATGGATATAAATTTACTTTCACTGTATCATTATATTTACAGCTCAATAATATGTCTCAGTATGTAATTTAAGATCTATATGCATGCCAATACGATCAAATGTTTCTAAGCTAACATTTTACTATATGTCATAATAAATTTTGCTGCATATGGAAATGCTGTATATGTAGTCTCATTACTATCTTAATCACTTCCTGTTACTGTAGCTTATTTCCCTATAAATTTACCAATAAATAAATTATATCAAAACACATGAAACACGACAGCTATCTTCAAGATATGCCCCCCCAAAAAAAACAATTATCAATGAGCCCTCACTGATACCCCTTCAGGGATTGATTTCACCCCTTCAGCTTTTTCTCTGTTTTGGTCCTGAGTGATATCCCTCAAAGTTTAAAAAAATAATTATAGTTCCTATTTTTCATATAATCAGCAAAAATAAAGCAAGCATTCATAAATACACTACTGGCCACCGTAAATGCAACACCCTCAAGGAAGCATGCAAATAACATGAAATTTACAACATGCATTAGCAGAGGTGAGATATGCAAATGATTAGAATTTCAGCGTACACGCACATCACGCGCGCCTGTGGCACCACTTCAAAACATTATTTAAGGCTTGGAGTTTTCGACGATTTCAAGTTCGGCAATTGTGTTTTTTTTAAAAAAAAAACGATCAATTATGCCTCGTAGTAAACAGCGATCATCATTTGATCAAGTATCCCAGGATATAATTACTTTTGAAGTCCTCTTTAAGAAGCCAGTTTTAATTATAATAAAAAAAAAATACTGCACTGTGCCAAGCACAGTCGGGCAGATTTTAACAAAATTTAATAACTATATTTGGGTAGAGTAGACTTCAAAGTACCCCTTGTAATATGGCGATGTTGTTTTTTGATTTATCGCCAAGTTGTTTCATTTATGGTAGCCTGTTCAGTTGAATGTTATAGAAACCTTACTGTGACATAATCATGTGATGTTTTGTAAGCGTTTTTGTGGTGTGTGTTGGTTTGATTCTTTAGACGGTAGAATGACCGAATGTAGTAAGATTAATTTGAAGTTTCTGTACAATTTGGAGCGAAAGGGGAAAAGAGCTTTAATTGACTAGTGTGTAAACGAAGGTTTACTTAGTAGCTATTATAAGTGTCCTGTATGTAGGAAGGATATGCCTCTAGTCGAACGTAAAAACCGTTTAGATGGATTTGAATGGGTTTGTAGGAAGAAAGGTTCAGATGATCACTATGTGAAGCGCTCGATCAGAAAGAGTACCTGGCTTGAAAAAAGTCATTTGAATATGATTGATATTTTGATTTTTATGTGGCTCTGGGTGTACGAAGTGAACTCGAAAATCATGGTAAGTGAATATTTGCTTTTGGTAGTGCTTAAATGTATAACGTTTTTCCTTTTTTATGTTATTTTATTGTTTGGTTTAAAATTTATTTTATTGAGATCATGTATTTTTTGTTTGCCTATATTGTAGAATTTGGTGCTCCTTAGACTTTTTAAGTGAAAATATATCGATGTGTACATGGACAAAGTAAAGGGAGTGCGCAATCCAAGTTTGTGCAATTCTGGGATTTTTTTTTTAAGTGAAAATAGGTCGAGGTGTACACGGATAAAGTTAAAAGAGGTAGCAATGCCATTTTTGTGCAATTCGATGATTGTTCTTTAAGTGAAAATAGGTCGACGTGTACATGGATAAAGTCCAAGGAGTGCGCAATGCCATTTTTGTGCAATTCGGGGATTTTTTTTTTAAGTGAAAAATAAGTCGATGTGTACATGGATACCGCGTTTGTGCAATTGTTTGGGAACAGCTTTAGTATAGCCCACCTTCAAAGTTTGGCGAATTTGGTTTGGGGGCAAAGCACATGAAATACGTTGTTTTGAAAAATGGTTGCCATACAGATTTTCGACGAAACTCCGTGTTTCAAAAAATGGAGGCCATCTTGATTTCACCAGAAATCGTGGATAACAGAAATAAGTTTACGACTATTATACACGATTTTAAGAGAAAGAAATATTAAGAAATGATTAATAAAAATGATTAAGATTGGAAAGGATGTAATTTTAGAAACAAACTTAAAAAGACATCCTAGAATTGCACAAACTAGGCGCGCACAACCTCAGCATTGCACACTACATTGGCTCTGCCCATATACACATCGATCTATTTCCACTTAAAAAAAATCCTAGAATTGCAGAAACTAGGCACCGTGCACAACCTTGGCATTGCGCACTACATTAGCTTTGCCCATGTATATAGTGATCTCATTTCACTTAAAAATCAGAAATTGAATAAACTCTGCATTGCTCATATACTAAGAAATATGCTTTCACTTAAAAGAAATCGGAGAATTGCAGAAATTCGCGCATAAGCAACTCCATTGATTCGCGTTGTAAAATAAATAAATAAATAAATAAATAAAAATTCTAGAAAAATTGAGCTTACTACAGGCGAATCAAGACCCTAACCTAATTGATTTCTCAGCCGTACATTTCTTGCAAATACTACCATTCGATGACTTTTTCTGACTAACTAACCAGCATGGTATCTTAATTTTTCACAGAAAACGTTATCCTTCAATAATGGACAATCCATCAAAAATCCTCTAAAAAGTTCATACTCTATTGTTAATTCATACATAAAATATCTGTTTCCAAAATTTTACGCTTGTTTGAAAACTCCCACCTTAAATTTTCCTTTATAATCTCCTGATACTTAATTACAACATCACTAACAGCAGTTTTAGAGCAAGCAATAACTAAACGCAAAAATATCACCTCAAGTAGCCAAAAAAATATATACAAAATAGTATTCACTGTATCTGAGCGTTAAACAATCGCCAATAACAGTGTTACGAATTGTGTATTTAGATATGAATTTTAGTAGAATTCTAATTTAAAATGTTGTATTTCCTCCTGCAAGGCAGTGCGAGACAAATTTTGAGAAATCCATACCGGAAAAGTAAGAATACAGGGCATGTGCATTAAACTTTGAGTAAATGGATATGTCTGTAATTTGTATTGAAATTGAATAAATGTAACTGACTACTAAATTAGCTGTAACCATAATTCCATCCTCTTGTTTACATTGCGTTTGGCGAATAGTATGGATTACCAGATCATATCATTTATCGCCGCTCTTGGCGATATTTTTTTGTTTAAAATTCCGGGTGGGCTATACTAAAGCTGTGCCATTGTTTGTCTTGTTATTTTGGCGATTTTTGCGCCAAAATTGCCGCTTTGCAAGCCAAAATAACTAGTCAAAGAATTGCACAAAATCGGTATCCATGTACTGCCAAAAATTGCCAAGGGGTACCCTTGGCCCTATATTTTTACCCTATATTTTTTTACCCTATACCCTATATTTTTAATTATAATGTTCAAAGAAGTATACAAATTAATCTTTGATTAGATGCTTTTAAATAATTTCAGTTAAATCCCAGTATACGGTACACACGGGATTTGGCGACATTATGCATATGGAATCGTGTTTAAATTTGAGGGTTTTCATCCGCAGAGAACCCGTTGGCGCCGTTGCATTTTTACTCGCCAAGCTCGCAGTTAATCGACAATGAGCAGAGCCGTAAACGTGATTTTTAGTGCAAGTATATTCAAATTAGCAGACAAAACAATATATTAAGCATATGGTAGTAAAAATTCACAGATAATAAGCATGTAGATGTAAAACTAACCGGTTAAACGTGATATACGAAAATAAATTAGTATTAAATTCAAGTTAGCACAGAAAAGAATATATTAAGCGTTTATAACGGAAATAAAAATTCATTTAAAAAATATAAATTAGTATTAATATACTGAAATTAACCGGTTAAACGTGATATACGACAAAAAAATTGTCTTAAATTCCAGTTAACACAGAAAACAATATATTCCTTACACCAGCAGTGGTTTGCTAATTTTGATGACCATGGTGATGCATCAAACTATTCTGTCATCTTAGATAATCAATAATATTTTTTATTTCAATTTAATCATCTATTTATGTCACACCTGCCATCCTCTGAAAGGTTATTGTTAGAAAAGCATTAACAATATATTATCTTGTTAAAATTTTACGCCATAAAAATTGATTTATTCTCATAATTTTAGATGACAATAACCAATAATAAAAATAAAAGCATTACTTAATTATTTAAAATGCACATGCACATTTTTGCGGCCTACGGAAACAAATTATTTTAGAGGTTGGAAACCTCATGGTTCTTAGAGCTGTTAATAATTAAGAGCACAACGTGAACAGCCGTGTTACAAATTAGCATTCACCCCTCCCGCCGTATTTTCTTCCTTTCATCCCGAACCGAGAACCGGCATCTATCTACGAAAATATTTCTATCTATTCGTTGTTAAAAAATTCAGAAAAAATAATAATAAATAAGAGAAGAATAATATAAATCTGCAAATGCGAACAACGACAGTGATAATTCAACAAAATAAACGCAAGAGGAGTGGTTGCAAACTTCGATCATATCAACTATACAATAGCCAAAGCACGAACTGTCAGAACTCAACTAATGTCACTTATCAACCGTACCAGCAACCTCTCCCTCAGCAACAAGATCCTACTTTATCGCAGTACCATCTTCCCCATCCTCACCTATGCAGCTATCATCTGGTCAACCGCAGCCAACAGTCACCTAAAGAAACTCCAAGTATTCCAGAGTGTTACGCTCCGCATACTTACCAATGCTCATTATTTCGTCCGGAATGAAGTGCTTCATAATGACCTCAAAATTTTACCCCTGGATGCCTTTTTTCGGCAAAGTTTTTCAATAGACTATCTCAGATTGAAAACCCAGTCTTGCACTCACTTCCTGCTTATAATTCAGCAGAGCCTAGCTCTGCTAAGCGACCTAGGAGCGTTCTTGATAGAACATTTAACATCTTTCCTAGGAAGCCTAAGCGGAGGTGCTTACTTGACTAGGAATTCTTTCTAATTCTTAAAACTAAACTTTAACCAGCACTTCACGGGCCTAACCCGGCGACCCTTAATTAACTCTCTTTTTTTACATCACTGCCCGCTAGACCTAATCTGGCCTCGTTTACCGCGACCCACATCTGTACCACTAAACATGACCTCCCCCCATTTATCAGGACCTCATCTTTTCACATATCATGGACCAGACTTTTAACATTAAACTAAATTATTAAAAAATAGCAGCAATAGTTTAATTATTTAACTACTACTAAATCCATTAAAAATTTAGACTTAAATAATATTGCAATAGCTACGCTACTCTATAATCATTCCTGCAGTGCTCCCTCTTACCTAATACAACTTATCAATTCTTTATTTTCGCACAGGTATCACAAGCTTGCATTTCATCACTACAAGACCTTCTTCAATAATTAGATTTTAATCTCGCTTCCTTAATTCCCCTTACTCCCTTCCTTTGCTCTATTTCTGTCCCTTTAATTCCTCATCTAATAATTTCTCTCTTTTTCTTCTTTTTTCACAGTTTTTAACCTTCCTCACGGTTCTTTTTTTCCGCTCCAGTAGCTGCTCCTATTCTCCTCTCGCCACGGGCGGTCGGAGAACTTTTCGCCTTCCTGAATAGACTCTCCCCCCCCTCCCCTTCGCTCCTTCTTCCCTGGATTCAGTTTTAGTCGTAAGACTCTTCCCCCCCCTCGCTCATCCCCAAGGCATTAGCTATCACTGCGGCTGTCCGTATTACCTAATATTACCTTTCCCAAGCCCTGGAAAATTATGTTTCCCGGCTGATTGTCTTCCAACCTTTCCGATTCCATAAACGCAATGCGTTCCGGAATTCGCCTCAACTAACTCCTTTCTCTCTTTCAATCTTAAATTACAAGCTGAAAGCAGAGAGAATTGCTCGTCCCATATGCGGACTCCTTATTCATCTCTTTCTATTTAAACCCTTAATGGTTTGTTCATCTCTCCTTAGTCCATTGCCTTTTCTTATCCAACTCAGTTTCCTTATCGATGTTGTGGAGGTAATTGCATTAAGTTGCAAAGGTACTCCGGAAGTCAAACGCCTTGGGCCTTGGAACAAGCGAATAGGTTACCAGGTTTGAACTATTATCGCCGGAGTTGGCGATGTTTATATTTACCGGGTTCTCTGCGGAAGTGCTTCCAAATTTGAAAACAAGGTGATTCATTACATTTTTTAATCAGAAATTTTGCCAGTTACACTGCAGGTAAAATCCTAGTATACGGTGCAGTCTTGGCGCGATTTTGAAAATTATCGCCAACTCCAAAATGACCCGTTTACTACTCATCGTATATGTCCCGTTTACTGCTCATCATAAAGTCGCCAAAAGTAGCCAAATCCCTTGTGCACCGGATACTAGGATTAAACCACACTGCAGTATAATATATCAACAGCTCATATTCACCCTACGAACTTTCCTGAATACTGTATAGGAAGATCGTGCGAAGCATCCTTTAGAGTGTTTTCAGCACTCATTTTAAATGTTTATATTTCCTTGAGTGACTTGCAAATATTTCGAATTCAATGAAAAATGTATTATTTGAATCCTGGTTATTCATTCACTCAAACAACACTACACATTTTATTATCTACTCTGTGACCTACCGACAAGCAGAAAAACAAAGTAGACAGATGTCTTGTTTAGCACCTGCTAAGTCTTTCTCCACCGATGGGCGAAAAATCAAGCTAAGGTGCCAAGGAAAGGCATATAGATAGGGAGGCAATTTCGGGTTTCAGAGGAGAGTAAAAAGGAACTTCGTATTATTTTATATGAGTTCAAAAGGCCGGAAAGAAAAGTTGGGACAAAATAAATTTAGAAATAAATAGCGGATAGTGATTTAGAGAAAAAAAGGAAAGAATTTAAAAAAAAAAAAAAAAATGGGCCTCCAGAGGAAAATGAAGAGAAGAAGAAAAATACCTGGTAAGCTAATGCGTCCATGAGTATGTCGTCGAAGATCGTCATATAGTTTGAAGCTTCCGAAAGCAGCGCTTTTGCTTTCTTCACATCTCATGGGAGCATCTGGGAAGGAAAGGCGAGGGCCGTTCGACCGGTTTCATTGGCCACGAAGCCATTGGCCACCAGAACCACGGAGTATAATGACTTTATACTCCGTGGTATGTGTAAACGGTGATGGTGGAACTATGTGATGAGTGGGGGTAAGGAATTAGATAAATAATATCATTTTAAAAATTTTGTGTCCAGTAGTTAAAAGTGAAGTCAAGTAAGAGTAAACCTTTAGCTGCTAGTGTAAGTCGTAAGTAGGAAGAAAGGAAGATATTGTAATGCGAAACATTCTACTATGGAAACAGAGTAATATGTAGGCATTTGCATGAGTAAGGGGAGATCGGTCAGTGTAATTTTGAACGATTGAACCAAAGCCAACTAGATATCTAGTTGGCCTTGGTTCAACCCATCAGGCCATCAGGTTGTAAGTAGAGGGAAAAAAAAATTCAAATAAATAAATAAATACAACATATGTTCATGGTACATATGGTAAGGAAAACTTAACTGCATCGAATAGTTACACCTAAGTACGCATAAAAAGAATTTTATCGCGTTAATTATCAAGAGATAAATAAGAGCAAGGAATTTTATGTTTAATAGAAATGCAAAGAAGAAAAATTAAGACTAATAAAACTAATTTTATTCATATATATATATATATATATAATTGAATATTTTTATGCGTAAAAAGGAAAATTCTTACAGTTTAACAGGAGTGTCTCAAACCAGTTTCCTTGTTTGGATCTTCATAACGTCGCCTGGCGTCCCGATTTTGATGTCCTTATCGGCTCCCGAAAACTTGAGGATCAAAGATTGTCTTTCAACTCACGGAATCTAAATATCAGTCTAGAATGGTTAATTCATGGATTTTCAGAAATCCTTGAGACAGAGTCTAAAGCAAAATGGATGAAAGGAATGGACAGAGGAATTTGTTTAGTAGAGAAGAGGGGAGATAGAGAGGCCCCTTTCGAAGCAGTAGAGAGAAGAGAAATATTAAATATAAATTATTAAAATACAGGGGAGAGAGACAGGGCAAGCTTTAAATATCCATAGAGTAATAGGGGAGCGAAGGAAGGTAGCGTCGGGTAAATTCAGAATGCAGCATTCATCCATTTATTCGTGCATATTTACCCATGTAAGGTGATTGATAAGATTTCTAAGAGCAAGGTCAGAGATAGGAGCGTCTTGAGGAAGAATATTTTTAGACCAGGATTTAGAGATGGAGGTAATATGTATAAAGAAGGGGTGGAGGAAGAATGAAGGAACAGAAGAACTGGAGATGAGGATATGCAGGGACAATTTCAGAGTAGCAAGGTACCTCAAGAATTCTCAATTCGATTTTAAGCTGAAGCAAACCGCGTGTATTCGTTACTGAGTAACGGGTACATCGGTTGACTCGAAGTACCGAATTGGTATTCACAAATTCATTTCGGTACTGGCATCTGTCGTACGGTGCGGTTGCTATTCGAATACGAATGATGCGGTTTCTATGCCAATACGAATGATACGGTTTCTATGCCAATACGAATGATGCGGTTTCTATGCCAATACGAATGATGCGATTGCTGTTCGAATACGAATGATACAGTTGCTAACAATACCCGTGTGTCATACTTTTCATTGATAATTTTGAATTTTTTTGGTTAACTCATCGGCGGAAAATGGAGATTCCGTGCGGAAGTGACGTTTATTGCATAGCAACCAGTCTGTCTCACCTCTACATTGCTCGAGGCTCAGGGAAAGGGGGGATTGTTTGTTGTCAAAAGTGCTGCTTCGCACGTGCTTCTCAATGAGGATGGCGGTATAAAAAAAATTACCAATCTGTTGGAGTAAAGAACATTTAGTAAAGAGCACAGAAAAAAGAAATGGGAAGAGTCAATGGATATTTTACACAAAACTGCAGATATGTGAAGAGCAATTTTACGTATGATCTTTTGCAAAATGGAAATTTTCTAAAAGGTTACATGTTTGTAAACTATTTGTAAACAGTTTTATGGTTAAAATATTTTTGTCTTAAAAGGTTATGTAACAGTGTCATAAATCAAATCATTAAAATATAGCATCGCGTACGCGTGTTTAATATTCCTACTGAATTTGAATCAAATTTTTTTTTAATTTTTAGCAGCCCATGATTATATCAATAATTTTATTTATTCAGGAATTATACTTATCACGTAGCTACAAATATACCATGTATTGAAAATACCAATAAGCAGAAAACTTTGGATTGATGCATTAAAAGACGATTTACTAGTGAGTAAAAAATATAAGAAATTTTTAACAAAAGTAATGGGAAGGAAAATAAAAAGAATTAAATAACTATAGGTTAAATATGTATATATTATATAAAATGGAAGGAAAAATTGCATAACAGCTGCATATTAAGATAATTGAAAGATTTTTCTGTTTATATAAATGAACTCTCGCATTCTTCCGTGTCAGTAGGTGCAATTATAGATACGTGGCTACTATCCTACAGCGCTGATGACACCAGAAAATCCGTTTTGTTGAAAACTATGTAAATTTATCTATTTGGTGAAAATACCAGAACAAATAGCATATGTAACCTATCAAGTGCACCAACCAGTCGCGTAGCTAGGGTGGGGCAAGGGGGGACATCTGTCCCCGGGCGCAGCATCCAAGGGGCGCCAAACTGATGCTACAAAATTTTTTAATGAAACGTTTTCCATTCTTGTCATACAGAAAGGGGCGCAAATTCTTCAGGTTGTGCCCGGGCGCTGGAAACTCTAGCTATGCCCCTGGCACCAACTTCACATTTATTTCTTAGCCCAATATATCTGTCATTAACAATATATCTCTGGTAACTTCCAGAAGCAAAACAATTTAAGGCAAACAAAACTTGTTTTAAATAAATAAATAACTATATATATATATATAACTGTATTATACATATATCAACATATGCAGTGAAAGGAAATTGCAGTACATATTCCTATTTATACCCTTTTTAAATCGATCTCACCAGCGACCGTGAGGTAAAATCGCTGAACACTGGTAGTTCAGTCCGAGGTTCCGAATATTGCGAACGGGTTGGCTGCATTACCAACATATCTCTAATAACCAATATATCAATATACCTGTCATTACCAATATATCTGTCATTACTAATATATTTCTGTCATTACCAACATATTTCTGGTAACTTCCAAAAGCATAAAAATTTAAGGCATACAAAACCTTTTTTAAATAAATAACTATATACATATATAACTGTATTAAAATATATCAGCATATGCAGTGAAAGAAATTGCAGTACATGTTTCTATTTATACCCTTTTTAAATTGATCCCACTAGCGGCCGAGCGGTAAAATCTCTGAACACTGATAGTTCGGACCGACGTTCGAATCCCGCGATCGGGCTTGCTGCATGGGCTTCATTACCAACATATTTCTCGTAAATTCCAAAAGCATAAAAATTTAAGACATACAAAACCTGTTTTAAATAAATAAGTAACTAAATGTATTATAAATATATTAACATATGCAGTGAAAGGAAACTGCAGTACACATTCCTATTTATGCCCTTTTTAAATCGATCCCACTAGTGGCCAAGCAGTAAAATCTCTGAACACTGGTAGTGTGGTCTGAGGTTCAAATCCCGCGAACGGACTGGCTGCATGGGCCTCATTACCAACATACCATTGGTAACTTCCAGAAGTATAGAAGGTTAAGGCACGCAAAATTTGTTTTAAATAAATAAATATACAGTGAAAGAAATTGCAGTACATATTCTTATTTATACTCTTTTTAAATCGATCCTACAAGCGGCCGAGCGATAACATCCCTGAACATTGGAAGTTCTTTGCAAGGTTGGAATCCCGCAAATGGGCTGGCTGCATGGGCGTTTTCGTGGTTTTCCCCATGTGTTACGTGTATACGAGCTAGTTTTCGTTAGAAAGCCCTCCACGAAGGCAACCCTCACTTTAGGCAGATAGCCCTCGAGGCTTTGCCGTAATTACATAAAACCAAAACCAAGCACTTTAAGATCTGAATAAAAATACAAAACTGATGTAATATCTAAAAGCAGACCACATTAAAAAATCTGATAACTAATTATAAATCTTGCATTATAATATTTACAAGAATTTAACCGAAAATTATACAGGAATTTAACTTGTTTTATACAGGAGATTTTGGAAACTGACATTCATATCAGTACAGTTAAAACTACTTAAATAATTTTTTTAACTCAAAGCAATTTAATGTAAATGTTGAATTTAGGATGTGAATAATTTGAATTATATACTGCATATTCTTTAATGCACGTGTTAATGTATTAAATTTTTATACACTACAAATTAAAATAAAAGTAGAGGGAAATACATTATAATTTAAAACATAAAATTTCAAAATTTATAAATTACTCATCCAAACATTAAATTAAGTACATTGAATAAATGTACATTATATGTTACAATTATGTACGTTGATAATGTACATTAGTTAGTTGAAAAATTAAAATTTTAAATTAAAAGTATGCACTCCTTCTTTATATGTGAAATAGGAAAACACCAAATATATTATTTTCACTAAAATTTAATTAAGGAATTGCTACTGTAGAATACATAAATA